TCTCAGGATGTGGCATTGTGACATCCCCAGTCCATTGTACATGGGGAGTTCAAGTCACCCTGCAACATCAGCTGGACGGCTCCTGCAGTCAGGATGGGACAGGGGTGGAGGGAAAGGCTGGACCTCTGGGTATCCCTGCCTTCCTCAGCTGGGGGTTCTGGGCACTGAGGTGGCCCACTGCCCAGCTACAGCACTTATGCAAATGAGGACCCCTGAGGAGGCTAGATGACTGCTATTTCCAACCCTCCTCCCAAAAGGAGCACAGGGTTGGAGGTGCAACCTGAGGTCCTCAGCATAGTGGTGCCCCTCAGAGGTGAGTTTCACCTGAGACTCCCCAATACTCTGCACTTCCTTACCCCTCTCCTTAAGGCCTCCTGGTCAGAGGAGAAGCAGCAGGGAAAGGGGTTCAGTGCCCTTGGTCAGGAAGGGGGCGTGATTCCTTGTGAGGTCCATGTCAGCACCATGGAGGGGCTGTTGTCTGGAATCTAAGCCCCCATCAGCAGGGGAAATGAGGGGAGACAGCAGACCCCACCCCATCTCAAGCCCCCCTTCTCCTCTAGCTTCCATTACCCCACCCCCATCTGACCACTGTCCCTACATGTCTATCACCTGCCTCTGCTCCTTCATGGACGTATTGTTCACTTCAACCTCTAGACCCCTCCTGACACCTCCCACGCCCCTCCCCTTTGAATGTTAGGGTGCATGTCCACTCGTTGGTGTCCCCGCCTCTCAGGGACTCAGTGTGATGTGGTATTCTGGATGGGACCCTGGACCAGTGGCTTGGGGCCCCTTCTTTTGACTCATCCCTCCTCCCTCTGGACTGGAGGAAGGTGAGCCCATCCTCCCAACATCCCACCAGGAAGGATAAATGGGGAGGGGAGGGTAGCAGGGCTGACAGTCTCAGAGACTGATCAGGGTAGGCCCCCAGCCTCTGAGACCACTATGTCTCAGTCCGTACCCGCACTCAGCTTGTCCTCTGCAGACCCCCAATTGGGCTCATCCACCCTTCCTTGTTCCTCCAGATGCCAAACCTGCTGGTACCAGTGCTGCCCCTCCTGATGGACCTGGCCCACACAGCCCCTGGTGAGTCTGGTCCCCAGCTCTCTCTATCCCAACACCCCAGGGGGGCAAAGTGGTCAGAGATGCCCAGAACTGTTCTGGCTGAACAGAGGCTGTGCCAGGGCATGCCTGATGACATGCCTGCATCCAGGTGCCATTAATCTTGCAGACCAGGAGTCCCAAACAAACCTACAAGATTGAAAATAGGGAATCAGAGATATTAATGTATAATGAAGCCAACTACAAAGCTACAAGAGGGACTAGCGTAGATGCAGTACTTCCAAATGACAAGGAAGTCAAGTAGGTTTCAAGGTAAAACAGACTGTTGTAAACAGGGGAAAAATTAATAAATTACAGAGTAACCTCAAAGAAAAATAATACACCTGCATATCAAAATAAAAAAGAGAATATCAGAAAGATATAGTAAACATTAACACCACAGAAATGAAAATGAATAGAAAACTCACAAACAACATGAACTCAGCATAGAAAATTATGTGAAATAAAGAATCCAGCAGCACCACACAAAAAAATTAAAACTACAGATCCACAACAGGGATCAGTTCGTACCTATTGACAGTTACACTGAATGGAAATAGATTAAACGTACCAGTCAAGAGATCTAGAGAGCAGAATGGAGAAGAAAACAGGATCCTTCAGTATGCTGTCAGTAAGGTGGTGGCTGTGTGCCATGGAGTCAGTTCTGACTCATAGCGACCCTGTACAGGGTTCCCGAGGCTGTAAATCTTTACAGGAACAGAAAGCCTCATCTTTCTCCTGCGGACCAGCTGGTAGTTTCCAACTGCTGACCTTGTGGTTCACAGCCCGATTCGTAACCACTACGCTACCAGAGCTCCTTGCTGTCTATAAGAGACACGTCAAGAAGACAGAGCCAGCCTCAATGTCCATCAACAGAAGAATGGTTAAGCAAACTTTGATACATACACACAAGGAATATTACAAAACTTTGAAGAAAAATGATGAATCTGAGAAACACCTCACAATATGGTTGCACCTGGAGGACATTGTGCTGAGTGAAATTAGTCTGTCACAAAAGGACAAATATTGTAGGAGACCAAATGTTGTAAAAAGTTTGCTCTTTTTTTTTTTTTTTAAAGAAAGAAAAAAGGTTCCTTGATACAAGAAATAATCTATAATGCCTACGGGGTGGGAGGGGCAGGGAGGGAAAACTCTTCACGGTCTAGAGGGTAGACACATGTTAACATGGTGGCAGGGCAGGCAATACGCAACAAGAGGGAAGTCAGCAGAAGATGGATTTAGATAGCAGGAGACAAAACCATTGCAAGAGGTAGCATATGATCAAGAGCCAATGATACTGAGGAAGAAGTCCAAGGTGCATTGAAGGAACTGGCAAAGAACAAGGCACTGGGAATCGATGGAATACAAATGGAAATCTTTCTACAAACTGATGCAGCACAGAAGGCACTCACTCATCTCTGCCAAGAGATTTGGAAGACAACTATCTGGATGACTGATTGGAAGAGATCCATATTTGTGGCCATTCCAAAGAGAGGTGTCCCAATGGAATGCAAAAATCAGACAATATCTTTGATATCCGATGTGAGTAAAATTTTACTAAAGGGAATACAGAAATTGATGCAAGCATACGTTGACAGAGAACTTCTAGAGATGTCTGATGGATCTTGGCTGAAAGCAGAAAATACCAGAAAGATGTTTACCTGTGCTTTACTGACTACACAAAAGCTTTCAATTGTGTGGATCATGACAAGCTATGGACAACATTCCGGAACACTTAATTGTGCTCATGAGGAATCTGTACCTGGACCAAGAAGCATTGTTCGAACAGAACATGGGAACACTGAATGGTTTAAAATTAAGAAAGGTGTGCGACAGGGTTATATTCTTTCACCATACTTATTCAACCAGTATGCTGAGCAAATAATCCAAGAAGCTGGGTTCTGTGAAGAAAATTGTGGCATCAGGATTGGAGGAAGACTCGTTAACAATCTGCAAGGTGCAGATGATACAACCTTGCCTGTTGAAAGTGACAGTGAAGAGGACTTAAAACATTTACTGATGAAGATCAAAGAGCACACAGCCTCTGTTATGGATTGCATCTCAATGTAAAGAAAGCAAAAATCCTCACTAGTGAACTAATAAACAACATTCTTATCAATGGAAAAAAGAAGGAAGTTGTCAAGGACTTCATTCTTCTTGTATCAACCATCATCACTCATGGAAGAGCAGTTCTAAGAAATCAGACGACGTATTGCATTGGGCAAATCTGCTGCACAGGAACTTTTTAAAGTGTTGTAGAGCAAAGATGTCAGCTTGAGGACTAAGGTGCGTCTGACCCAAGTCATGGTAGTTTCAGTAACTCATATGAATGTTGATGCATTTGAGTTATGGTGTTGGAGGAGAATACTGAAAGTGCCTTGGGCTGCCAAAAGAACCAACAGATCTGTGTTGGAGGAAGTGCAGCCAGAGTGCTCCTTGGAGGCCAGGATGACCAAACTTCGTCTCTCATACTTCAGACATATTGTCAGGAGGGACCAGTTGCTGGAGAAGGATATCATGATTGGTAGGGTGTAGGGTCAGAGAAAAAGAGGAAGACCTGCAATGAGATGGATTGGCCAAGTGGCAGCATCGATGGACTCAAGCATGGCAATAATTGTGAGTTTGGCTCAGGACCGGGCAATGTTTAATTCTGCTTGCACAGGGTCACTATGAGTCGGTACCAACTTGATGGCACCTAACAACAACAACAACAATAAAACAAAGTGTACGATTTGTTGAATGTAAAACATGACCTGCTCTGTAGACCTTCATTCAATACACAATAAAAAGTTGAAAAAAACGAAAGGAAAACAATTACCGGCTTGAAAACCTTATGGGGCAGTTTGACTCTGACACATGGGTCACATGGGTCACTCTGAGTGGAAAGTGGGCATGATGGAGCCCAAGGACAATACCACTTCTTAGATCAGTTTTAGGTGTAGAGTGTTCCCATCTACCTATTGTCTGCTTACTGGTCTTCCTATAGTGATACTTTGTATCCTCCTGGGACATTTGTTACAATTGCTGGGGCAACATTGATACACAGTTATTCACTAGAGCCCA